AGCTGGGTGTGAGTGGCAGGAAGTGGTTATGTAAGGAGTCACAACGGGCTGCAGTGGACAGCCTGACCACAGATCAGGTCAACCAAGTGTGACACCAACAGCTTCTCACTGACACCTTCCTGACACTGTCTGTCACCAGGCCTGTCTGTCCCGCTCTGAGAGTGCGTGTGTGTGTGTGTGTGTGTGTGTGTGTTTGTGTGTGACGGCTTTTATGGTCCTATAGCTCTCTTGTACATACCTGCATAACTTCTATCAAATTTCAATTCACGCTCATTTCCAAGATGCCCCAAATGTCTTGCGCATATGCGGATATAGCCTTTGGATGTGCATGCTTTACTAACAGGGCGGCTCGCTTTCAATAAAATGGCCATTTTTGTGTCTTTGATTAATACTATCACACTAACTGTTAAATTATACTAACACTGTAACGTAACGTTTTCTTCAGAAAACACTGTCCAGCCAGAGTCAAAACTACAACAAATTTATCCTCGTCAGGATAAGCAATAAAAAAAAAAAGGTAACCAAATTGCGATATGTAGTAACATCTAAATAAACTACTTTTATTTAAGTGAAAAATATATTATGGCTGAATCATTCTGACTATTACATTGCACCAATGAAAGTATTTTTTAACAGGCAGGTCAGGTAGACCTAAAGCTGCTTAAAGCTTCAACAACTGCTCATTTTCACTTGTGTTCAAAAACAAATACATTTGATGAGCAACAGGTAGATTTCCAGACTAATATGAAGCTTTTGATCGAAAACACTCAACCAAAGCAAAACGATGAGAAGGAAACGGCAAACAAACTTCCACCACCTTTTAAAACTAAAGTCCCAGGAAAGTTTTTCACTCACTTTTTGATTTTCTTCCTGGTTAGGCTGCCATAGTAAGTGTGAAAGTGTCAAAATAATTCCTGTCCTATAATTCCAATTGTCCAGCATAGCCATGCGACACACTAACAGTATGAACTTTCTGTTCATGAAGGAATCTAGCTGAAAAACAATATGTTACACTTAAGTAAGTACACGGTAACTACTGAGTAATAATAATTTACACATTTAAAGTGAAATTATTTTCTGGACCTACTTGAAAATACACTTTGTCATTATTATTACTGTAATATTTAATTATATCCACATGCAATGTATAACATTAACATTGTAATGTTGCCAATATTAAAAGAATCCAAGGATGTGCGACAAATTAGGAATCGCATTGTGACAAATTTGTATCATCCTTATTAAAATGATCATTATAATAACATTTGTTGTTACAATATTAATTATAATTTTTTTTTACTTAGCACTATCATTTAAAAAAACAAGCAGAACTGAATTAAAACACATTACAATAGCAATTTCGTTTCTTTAATAATCCCCATGCTAAGCCCAAACTGACTGATGAAGGAAAAGGTTAATATTTACCCACCCCTTTCATTTCTAATACAAATCCAGTCATTTAGAAGAAGCTGTTAAATCCAAAGACATCAGATAACAGAACACAAGCGCCTCGCCGCTACCATTCACTACCTTCCACAGAACACGCCGTCAATGCAAAGCGCACTAATCTTGTAAAATCCACTAATTAAGTGAGAGATGATGTTTGAGAAGGAGCCAAGGTGGTCCGCACAATTAACCCCAGCGTTCCCCCCACTCCGCTCCCAATACCTCCGTCATTAAGGGGAAAAGACGAGTGTACTTATGAGCAAAGTGTCTTTCCCGAAAAGTTTCCCAGGAAGCCAAGCCTCCTTGCATGAAGCCATCAACAAGTTTGAGGGGAAAGGAGAAACCCTCCGCTCGGATCTTAAAACTGTCAGACATGTGACAGTCTGACATGTGTGTGTCAAGAGCAGTTGCGTGACTCACCTGATGTGCATGTCCACCTCTGAGCAGCTGTTTCGAGGGCAGATGTATCCCTCCTCCTCTTCTTCTTCAGTTGTCTCGGACCCGTCCGAACCGCGACCCTCCCCTCCGCTCAGTCCACGTTCCAGGACCCCTCGCACTCCCACACACACATACAAACACTCACTCGGGGGGTGACAAGGGGGTCAGACGGGGCCAAGAACAATCCCAGCTGCTGGCACAAAAGAGCAGGCGAACACAAGCGGTCTGCTGCCGCAAGAGCGTGTGTGTGTGTGTGTGTTTGTGGGAGCACGGCGGCAGCGTCCGTGCTCTCGCTCTCTCTCCTCCCTCACTTTCCGACCGGGATCGTCTCAGATATGACTGGAGTTAGAGGATGCGGGTCTGTTTCCTTCTCTGGCGTGCTCCCCGCTTTGGCTCTCTCTCTTTCCTCGTTGAGCTTCTTTTCTTTTCATTTCCTCTTGGGAAAGCTGCACGCACCGGTCGTCTCTTCACTCGCTCCCCCTCTCTCGCTCTCTCTCTCTCCTCAATCGCTGGTAAATATAAAAGAAATGCTTGTACGGACCCTACCACTCTCTGTCTCTCTCTCGTTCCTTTCTCGTTTACACTCCCTCCTCCCCACTGCCCTCACTTTTCTTTCTCACTGTCAAAGCTGCCTTTCAAATGCTGATTAGCACACAGAGTAAAAAAGAGAGAGGGAGAGTGGAGTTATGGCTAGCGTTCGACTAAGATTCCGTCACATTCGACTTGAACACCACTTCTCTCAGACAAACACACACTTGAGTTTCCGTCCTCAAGGTAACTGCTCTACCGATATCATCTCGCACTAACAAACACTAAGCGAATAAACCTGCTCGGACTGTTTCGCGCACCCGCGCCCCTCTCCCACCCCTTCCCGGTTCGTTCTTCTTGCCCTCAAACACTACTCAGAATATTGATACATCACCCCCTCCTCTTTTCTTTCCTCCGTTTCTCTCTCTCCATCACTCACTTTCTCTGCTGAATACTGATAGGCTGTCTAGTCCGTGGTCTGGGTTTCAAATTCTCATTCTCTCTCGCTTTCCTCCGTGCGCTTGCACAAAAGCTCTCCGTAACATAAAGGCAAAAACGGCAGAAGTTAATGCACTGAGCACAACATAAATTCACTTAAGCACCATTTCAGATTATGTCAAGCCAGAAATTGGCGTAAGTGCTCCGGAAGGAGGAGAAAAGAATGTGTGCGGCTGTAAACGCAGAAACTGATGCGGAGGCGACAGGATAATAAGAAAACAAAGAAGTGCGTAATAAATGAGTAAGCGAACTCTTACATTTGCTATTGTCAGTGAGAGGGACAGAGAAAGACTGAGCGAGGGAGAGAAATAAAGGACAGTGGGACAGTCCAGATCATTGAAGATTGAAGAAGTTTAAACAGCCGACTGAAAAGTTGTCAAACACACATCCAGTCACAGAAACACACACATTTAGCCAGCTATCTGAATGAGGACAGACCATAGACCAGTAAGGCTCAAATGGTGGGTCAGATCAGAAGTCTGTTCTGTTGTGAAATCTTAAAATAAAATTAAGTTCCAAAAGTTTTTTTTTTTACAGGGATGCCATAAAAGAACTTTGTTTTTTTGTACCCCAAATAAGTTTTCAGTGAACAGTTCTTAAAAGAACCATTTTTTTTCTTACTGTGAAGAACATTTAAAAAAAAATTGGATCCCCCCCCCCCCCCCCCCCTAAAGGTTGTGTGTCCTAAAAACAGTACTAAATGCAAATAATAAAATGCTTCTAACCTGACAAGCACGATAAAAAGAAAAAAACGACCTAGACCTTTGTAATAAATGATTGGCTTGAAACTATCAAAATGACATTTTATTTGATACATTTTTTTGGTATTGCATCACTCACCACCAGTTGGCAATCCGTTAGATCTGATCATAAAGGTAAATTTCATTAAAACATGTTCATATTTCACCACAAAATCAAAATAAATAAGAAATTATTTTTATACCCCAATCTCATGACTTCTGGAACATTTACTTTTGAGTTTTTTTTATAAATCTCATTGTTATCATTAGATTGTCACTATTTTTGTACCCCAAAAGTATTTTTCTTAAGAAATATGTCATGACAATATCAAATGTCAAAAAATGATCTTCATCTTTTTAAGCTAAATATAATTTTATTTATTTTTTAAAGTCCCCCTGTCATCAATGATTTTATCCCTTAAAACCCATCTTTGATCACCAAAATTCAATCACACCAGCTCAGAATACCTGATCCACTCAGTCAACTTTACTGGAGTAAACGCTGCAAAATAGCAAGTGGAAATATTGGTTTAATTCAGCCGTATACTGTATGTTTGAACCAGAAACTGATTCAGAAGAAGAGTGAATTATACAGGCTCTTCTACGAGTCGATGTATCAGAATAGTGATGCGTTTTGTACAATGTTGGACACATAACGGTAATTGATATGATTAGCCTTTGGCTTGACTACGTAATCAAACAGCTAAAAGTGTGTTGCTAATGTTACACAAACCATGTTCCCGTTCGCCATCTCAGAGTCAGACAGTTTCCTTCTAAAACTCAGCATCCTTAGAAACGCTTTGAACTAATTAGAAGGTCATTGGAGAAAGGCATATAGTTCACCATAACATCGTAATATACATCATATACATAATTCACCTGCTATATTACTAAATGTACCCGATTTTTCATATCAATATTTACCGGGATAACCTGCGTTCTCTTGAGACTCCCTTCGAAGCATAGTAATGACAATATGCTAAGCCTAATTTTTTTGTGCAGTTTTAGAATATATTTTTTTTAATACCGACCAACTTTAATTTTACTTTATTTTTCCCTTTGAGGACATCCCTGAAGACAATTTTTTTTAAGTGTGGCTAAGGACATATACACAAGACAACAAAACCCCAGTCCGCAGACGTGATTATTATTAGAAAAACAAAAGGAGAGAATGAAAAAAACGATATGAGCAGAAAACTGTAGCCAATAGTGTAAAAGAGAAAGTCTACAGCAGTGTTAAGGAGTTAGTAGCTAAACCCACTGTCCAGTGTCCTTGAAGCAAAGATTCGGACAGTGTTATAACGCAGAGAGCGTTATTGTCTGTATGATTTCACACCCACACATACTCACACACAGTGCAGTGTCCTCTCCTGATGTCCTCACCTGGACCATTTCAGTCCTGGCACAGGCCCAGTATTCACTCACTGTATTAGCATCGGCTTCTGCTATAGAACAACTGTGCGTCACCATTACTGATCCATGATAAATGACCTGGACAGAAAAAAATTATATATATAAATATACACACACACAGTATTATGTTAATTATATAGAATATATATATAGCACACTGTATATGCATCAGGATCACTGTCCATATATTTTATTAACAGTTCATATTAGTATTGTGTATTTACCATGGTATCTGTAGTTTCTGTAACCTTACCCCAAAACACCACAAAATCTATATTTTTGATAAAAGTGGTGGATTGTGCCAACTTACTAACTATTTTGGGACTGCTATTTAATATCCTTATAGTGTTAGTGAAATTCTTACACGTATGTGAATGTTAAGTAAAGTGGGACAGGTGTGTGTTAATCATTTTAGAGAAATACATTTGCTTGGTTCAAATGCCTAAAAATTTGGGTTGCGGCTTAATGACCATGGGAAATAGTGGGTCCCATGGCCAAACCAGTTGAGAATCACCGTCCTATTAGAGGACCAACAGGTGTAGTTAATGCAAGTTTTACACAGTTTACCCCAGTTCACCCCTGAAAGACTGAGATGAAGGGATTAAGTTATGATGTTTTTTTCTGATGTGAAGCTGCTTTATATCTTGAACCTTACTGCTCTATCAGATAATATTTTTCAAATGTGGAGCATCAGATGAACGAGCCTTTGAATTCTCTGACTCAAAGCCATGCATTTATAGCTGGTGTGGGTACTAGCGATGAACTGATAAGGCATTAAATGCTTCAGGAGGGTATACGTCTAGGCATCAGCATGACAGAAATCATCTTTATTCCCCCCACATGAATACTGTATATCTGATGTAGTTCAACATCATTCAACTACCAGAAGCACTATATCCAGCACAAAAATGCCTCATGATGCAAGTGTTTAAATGCCATTAAAATATGAAATATTAAATCCCCTGTGCTCAAAAATGCTGCATCCATTAAAATGTCTGAATGGTGTAAAGGTGTCAAAACAGTGGCAAGAATTCCTCCGTTACGCACAAATGAAGATCTGCTACAAAAAGATGCAGTTCTGACACCTGTACTGAACTGTAATGGGCAATGTAGCTCCAATGACGAGAGGAACCAGGTATCCTTGAGCATTCTCTGCTTTTTAGGGTTGCATCTTGCAACATCATGTCCTGTCTTTGGTTCGTTTAGATGTCTTTGGTCCATGTTGCATTCATATTTTAGTTGAACATCAACAAAGTTCATTTGGAAATGGATCGAGACCCCCTGAAAAGGTTCGGATGGCAGCGTTCACACTTAGAGTATTCAAATGAACAGAACTAACAGATCAATGACACCAGAGTTCGTTTTAATACAATCAAACTTGCCAAGTGTGAACACACCCAACGTGCCAGCAGCATAATGTACCTGCTGTGGTCCATGTCCTTAAAGGGTTAGTTCATCCAAAAATCCCATCATTTACTCACCCTCAAGCCATCCTAGGTGTATGACTTTCGTCTTTCAGCCAAACACAATCTTTTTTCCAAGGCTTTTCCAAGCTTTATAATGGAAGTGAATAGTAACTTAGATTTTGAAGCTAAAAAAAAGCTCATCCATCCATTATAAAAGTAATCCATACTACTCCAGGGGGTTACTAAAGGCCTTTTGAAGTGAATAAAAATATCCAGATTTACAACTTTATAAACTATAATCAATGGCTTCCGACAATGGCCGTACGCAAGTCGAGTTCCGGCAGAAGAGTGACCCCTGACCCGACCCATGACGTATTGATGAACAAGGAAGCGCAGAGGATAGAGCAAAACAAAAAGAGAATCACGTACTTGACGGAATAAACTTAGTAGCTTTCATAATAATCCGTGTATTTTTAATTCATACAGAGAACACAATGCAATGTTTTAGTTTTACAATTAATTGATTTCTTACATGCAAATACAAATAACGTTAAATAGACATACTCTACCTGAAAATTGAAAGCACTGTTTGTTACATTTGTACCGTTCCTGCATTAGTTTTGTTGTTCGTAATTTGCCTCTCATCTTATTTTTAATAACAAAGATTAAATAAAATAACAAAAATAAATGTGTGATGTATATTTTTATTATGAAATGAAATTATTATTGTGAAATGATTAGCTAACTGTGTGATTTGTGTATGTACACTTCTGAAATACGTAACTTGGAAACAGTCACCTCTTATAACAGATCACTCCAAATTGTAATGTAGACATGCATTTTCTGTAAAGCTGCTTTGAAACAATATGTATTGTGAAAAGCGCTATACAAATAAATGTGAATTGAATTGAAATTAATTATTAAAATCGTATCTCACAATTCTGACTTCTTTTGCCGGAATTGCGAGTTATAAAGTCCAATTCTGAGCGGAAAAAAGACGGACTTTAATCTCTGAATTGCAGTTTATATCACGCAATTATGACTTTCTAACTTGCAGTTGCGAGTTTATATAACGCAATTGTGAGAAAAAAAGTCAGAATTGTGAGATAAAAAGTCACAATTACTTTTTTTATTTTTTATTCTGTGGCGGAATCAAGCTTCCATAAGAAACTAACTAGAGGAGTCAGAAGAGAGAAGTTAAATAGACCATCATTCCCTCAGCTGTTGTATTAGAAACATTTTTGTAATTAAATGCCAAGGTCATATAACAAAAAAGTATAGTGTTATATATGTGTAATTTAATTTTTCAAAAATGATTTTTTTTTTTAAGTGAGATTTAAAATGTTAATTACACTTGAGTCTGTAAAACAACCCCCTATAACATTTAACCAATGTGATTTGGATAGTATTTTATTCCGATCAACTCTGACCTGACCTGTCCATCAGCTTGTCCATCTGTCTGTCTTAGTCTCATTCTCTATTCAGCAGTGAGCCACAGCTGTCTTATACAGCATTTCTCAACCTTTCTCAGCTCTGACAGCACAAAAAGTAATTACCTCTCTAATTTACCTTGTCCACTTATAGAACATGTCTCGTTCTGTGTGTGTGTGTGTGTGTGTGTGTGTGTGTGTGTGTGTGTGTTAGTAACCGTGTCAGCAAAAATGTCACTGTGTAAATGTGTGTGTGGAAACACTCTTTTGTGGGTGGAATATGAGAATGCATTAATGTGTGTTTGTATTTGCATTTAAATGCGTGTTCATGTGGAATGCAATGTGTTTGTCTGAATGTAGCCTCCCCTTGGTCCAATTACTTCCATCCTCCCTTCCTCATCCTCCAAGCCTCTTCAGTTTTCACTCATCCCCAAATCCCTCTCTCCCATGTGGGACGCCCTGCTGTACCTCTCCCTGACCAGCCAGACCTCCTCTACCCTTCCCCTCCTCCCAATCCTCGTCCCAGGTGAGCTGACGACATCAGGAGTGCTTAATGATATACTGGAATATTAATTAGCTGTTTAGAATACTAATAATATGAGCAATTCAATGAGGTGGAAAAATGCATGAATGTCTGATCCCGTCTAAAACATGGACAGCCTCAATGTTATAGATTGAGCAACTGTATTTTGGACTCTTAAAAAAAAGAATAAAACATTTAGCTTATGTAACAGAAACAGAATATTCATTGATTAGAAATAAAATTAAATAAAACTTGATTTAATAAATAAATGGCTTTTGGAAAAAGGAAAATTGTTGAAGAAGTGGAGTAAATTATTCTATGTTTCCACAACTTTTGGTACTTCTGTGTTAGGGGTTGATTTTATTGAAAATCAAGTTTTTTTTTTAAATACAGGTACATATTTACTTTTCAAATGGCTTTTATTTATAGATTTTATTCCTAGACCCACATTTTGAATCTGAAAATACCCTAAAATACTATATTCTTTCAAGCTTTTTATCTTTGAGTGAAATACATTTTTAAACCCTTTCAATATTTATTTACATTTTCTTCATTTTTTTTTAATGACACGCAACACATAATTATACCCTTAATAAAGTTGCAGTGATCTTGGTTTACCTTGATGAAAAATCTAGATAAATATTAATTACTAATTTAATTAACTACAAAATTAATACTATTTAATTGCTTAGTTATGAATATTAATTCATAATATAATATTCATTATGAATATGCACACAATATTTCACCAGTGCATAATTTGCCACTAAAATGTAATTGTATTTTTTTTTATTTATTTTTTTTAAGTGTGAATTATGATTTAGTAATGTGTGTTACCTGCACCCAGATATCCCTGTTTATTTGTTGGCAACATCCAACAGATGTTTGACAGCTCCTGGGCTTTTGTTAAAACTACACTCCAAAAATCAAAAATCAAAAATCTGGGATGTTTCAACCCATGTTTGGGTCAAATATGGGCAAACCCAACCATTGGATTACATTTTTTAATTACATTTCTAAACCCAATGGTTGGGTTTGTCCATATTTGACCCAAACATGTGTTGATTGAAACAACCCAGCATTTTTTAGAGTGTACATATCAAACTTCCGCAATGGACAGTCGGATCAACAGAGGGGCGCCTACATTAAAAGTGCATTATGGGTGTTGATGTTTTTATCATCTTGCCAGCGGTGAATACCCCTTTAAGAAAGTTTATTTTCTAAAAGTGCACAGGGCCAAAATGCCAATAGCTGAAGAAACACCCAATTACATTTTGATGAAACCATATTTTTGGGAATTAACGCCTAGACAAACGATGGACAATAAACCAGAAATGAGTATGAACGAGTAAACAGGGTCCATTTGGACTTTAAAGTTGACATTGCCTTTTCTGCAATGGCTCACCTCTCCTGTTGATTAAATTCTTGATTCCATGATCGGAGTCCTCTACGTCTCCTGTCCTCCTCCTCCCTCTCCCTTCCCCAGTCTCTATCTCTCTCTTCCTAGCGCTCTCTCTCTCTCTCTCTCTCTCTCTCTCTCCCTGCTCACCTACTCGATATTCCAGCCTTGTTTCCCTGCAGTCTCCAGCACAACTTTCTGACCCACTTCCCATTTCCTCCCTGGCCCTGTGATCAAAGCCTGCAGGACGGCATTGCCTTGGGCAGCGGAGAGCGGGAGAGAGGGATGAGGGGATTGAGGAGAAGGGCTAGAGGAAGAGA